GAATAAAATTTTATTCGAAATATTTACTGAAATAATGTAAAGAAAAAGAGTCAGGAGTCCTTAGGATAAGTGAAAAAAAACGGCATAATCGGATAAAAATCACAGATAAAATAGGCAAATGAATCGCAAAAAGAAAAAATAAAATAGAATAAAATAAAATATGAATATATTTACATAATTAAATAATTAAATATAATTATATAAATAAAATAGATCAAAATAACTATATAAATAAAACATAATTATTTAATATATAAATTATATAAATAAAATGTAATAAAATAAAATGTATGGTTACAATAATCGATTTAAAATATGTATTATACGCATTATACAACATAAATAGGACAAGCTAGTTTGTATATACGAACGAGCTACGATTGAAATGAACGGTTGGATGAAATTCAACGAAGTAAAACGGTGAAACAATAAATAAACAAATAAATTGAATAGAATAAAATAAATACAATCAGAAAATAAATAAAATATAAAATGAACAAATAAATCGATAAAAACGCAAAAATAAATATAAATAAATGCAGGTGCATAAATTAAGAACGCAAAATGAAATAAAATATGGTCGTATTATTGGTAACTATAAAATAAAACAGAACGCGTCGAAATCCTAACGGTGGATTTCATAATTTGTAAACTATTCGATATTAATTGTCAGCAGAAACAGTTACGTGGCGAGTATACAATAATAACGAAAGTACACCGCAAGGTGTGTTTCGTAAACACTTTGTGTCGACTCGCTATCGTTAAAAAAAAAAAAGTGATTGTTCGGAACTTTCAATCGCGAGAAATAGCTCTGAATTCGCAAAATGAAATAAAATTACAAAGAATATAATAAACCGAAATAGAATAAGTACAAATTAACAACCAATGAAATATTATTTATTTAAGTTTTATGTATAATGATATGTTTTGCTGAGCGCTTGCTTTTCTTGGCAAATTTCAAATTAAAAATTTAGATATATTTTTACCGCCATTTGTTTTCTTTTCTACTTTCTTCTTATCGTCACCGTTGTTTCACTTGATTAGAAAATTGTTACAATATCCCCACAATTTATTTGTTACCAAAAATGTTGCTTTTAGTCTTTCATCAGAAATAATTTTTTCTTTCCAGTTTACAGTGGAATAATAAGCCGATCTTTGGAATCCCAAATGTGGGCCAATCACTGCAATGCCAGGCTGACCAATGGTGGATGAGGAGCGAGCCCCGCCGATTCCACCTGATTCCAAAAATCAAGTTAATATTCTGACCCTCCTATGAAGGGTGTATCAGATATTAAGCTGATAAGAACAGATTAAATCACTTTATTCAACAAATGTTTCCAATGAGGGAATCCTACGGGTCGCCGCACGATGATACAAAAAAACTTTACAAAAGCGGCCGTTAACCGGGCTTATGTATAATATAATATATGGATCGTCCGTCTCCCTTATACGCGTATGCGAAAATTACAACTAAATAAAATAAAATGTTACAAATTTTTAATAAAATAAAATTTTACAAATTATTAATAAAATAAATTTTACAAATTATTAATAAAATAAATTTTACAAATTTTTAGTAAAATAAAATTTTACAAATTTTTAATAAAATTTTAGAAATAGAAAGAATGCTACTTCGAACGTTTCGTAGCATGTATAAGTAAATATTAACCGACAGTACACATACGTGTACTGTACGGTTAAAGGACAAATAAACATGTTTAAACAAAGGAATTGTTTCAAGAAAATATTACTCCAAAACAAAGTAAATTTAAATATAAGAAAATCCGATAGCATAGCTCGTGATGCTATACGGATAAAAGAAATTAAACTACCTAAATGCAATGAACAAAATAATAAATTTGACAAAGAAAAATAAAAAGAAAAACCTAAGGAAAAATTAATATAATAAGTAAATGAAAGAGAAAATTAATGGTATAAAAAATAAGAATAAGAAAAGATAAAAAGAGGAGAGTTGTTTGGCATCGGCATCAATCACCGAGCGTCAGCGAGATATCACAGATGTTGCTCTTGATTCATTGCTCCTATCAGCGAGTCCGATGTCGAAGCCGTCCTGTTTTCAGTATTTAACCCGGGATTATCCACCTCGACCGTACATCCCGGCGACTAGACCCTCACGTGGGTAATCCCGGGTTAATGGGAACAATTGTCCCCGGGCCCTCCACTAGCTGACCCCCTAATCCAGACGCAATTAACAATTGCGTGTGGTGTATGTGTATGTGTGCTTGTGTGCGCGTGCGCGTGTCTGTATATTTGTTGTCAATTTTTAATATTTCATTTATATGATTAATTGGATTTATTTTAATATTTACTATTGAAGGATTAACTGGAATTATACTTTCAAATTCATCAATTGGTATTATTTTACATGATTATGTAATTGGTCACTTTCATTATACATTATCAATAGGGGCTGTATTTTCAATTATTTCAATTATTCAAGATTTATTCATTGATTTTTTTTATATTCAGGATTATTAATAAATAAAAAATGATTAAAATTTCAATTTTTTTATATTGGTGTTAATTTTACATTTTTTCTTCAACATTTTTTAGGATTAATAGTAGCGAAAGCACTTATTCAAACTTAACGTGTTTGACAGGTTCCCAACCGTACAAGACAAAACATTCTGCAAACAACTGTTACCCGTTTTGAATTTCTGAAATCAACGTTTTCTGCGAGTCCTCTCACAATACCACGACGATATCCTGATTATCCAGATTCATATTATTGCTGAAACATTATTTCATCATTAGCATCAATAATTTCAATAAATTTCTATTATTAATTTATATTATTTTTGAAATATTATCTAAACGATTTATTTTATTTCAATTTTTTCAATCTTCATTATAATAATTAAATAATTACTCTCTATTTAACCATATATGTAATGAAATCCCATTATTAATTATAAATAAAATAAAAAATATTTTTAATAAATAAATTTTAATATGGCATTATAGTGCTTTGAATTTAAACTTCAAATATAAAATTTTTATTTTTATTAAAAATCTTAACATGAAATATAATTACATTTCAAGGTTCAAATTCTTTATATTCAGATAATTTCATTTCATTTCATAATTTTATTATATTATTTATTATTATAATTATTTAACATATTTTGTATTTAATATTAATTAAATTTTTTAATTTATCTTTATTAAAAAAATCATATAATTGAAATTACTTGAACTTTAATACCATATTTATTTTATTAATAATTTGTTATCCATCATTAAAAATTTTAGTTTATTGATGAAATATTTAATCCTTATTTTTCTATTAAAGCAATTGGTCATCAATGATATTAATCTTATGAATATCCAGAATAATTATGAAATTAATTCTTATATAAATAATTATTTTAATTTAAATCAATTTCGATTATTAGAAACTAATAATCAATTAATTATGCCATTTAAAATTTCTTTACAATTAATTGTTTCATCATTAGATGTTATTCACTCATAAACAATTCAATCATTAGATATTAAAGTTGATGCTATTCCTGGTCGAATTAATTAAATTTATGTTCAATTCGACCATGATTATTTTTCGGTCAATGTTCGGAAATTTGTGGAATTAATCATAGATTTGTACTAATACAAAATTATATTAGAAAGAACAAATTATATAAATTTTATTACTTGAATAAATAATAATGACTTTTAACTTACAAAAATTTAGTTAATATATAACTATTGGATAAAACAGAAATATTACAATCTAAGGTATAACTAGAAATAAGTCAGATTTCTCTGTTCTTTTACAATCTCTATACACTTGCTGCTTTCTTAATACTCTCTTATTGCACAGTCTTACTCTTACTCTTACTCCATCGCTTCCGATCACTCTTATTTTTATCCAGCTCATTATTTCTTTGTTCTTATCTCTACCACTTCCACTTCTCACTTCCTCGCTATCTCTCTCTCACTTACTCATATTTCAGCTCACTCACACTCATATGTATATTACAATTACAATTAACCTCTCACAATAAATATTATACAAAAATTTATTAATTTATCTTCATAAAATTAAATTATACTTAAAGTGCGTTTATTAACAAACTATGATCCCACTGGGACAGTACTCCAATGGGTTGATACAACAGACCCTTCACGGGCGGCCTCGTGGCCTTTATATTACAAGTACTATAAGGAAATCGTCGGCGCTGTTGGTTATTCGCTTTCAAACAGGAGAAACTCGAGATCAAATTCTTGAGCACGGTTTCATCTATTACAAGTACTATAAAAAGGGAGGGGGCTGTAAAGGGGCTCCTCTTCGAGCGCGTGAATAAAAAATATATAGCCTTATTTTAGGCAATGTCTAAGGAAAAGCTAGTCACGGCCAGAAGAATAAAGAAAAATATAGTTGCATACGATCTCTTATATATGGGTATACAGGCACGCATAAATAAATAAATAAATAAATAAATAAATAAATAAATAAATAAATAAATAAATAAATAAATAAATAAATAAATAAATAA